GTCATAAGGGATATAAAATTAATTTCTAAAGCATTTTCGCAAGCAGAATGTTTCAGATGTTTAGAAAGTCTCTTTAAAAAAAAAAGTAGTGTTTAAAGGGACACCGTAGGCAACCAGACCACTTTATCTCATGTGCAGTGTCCCAGTCCCCTTAACACTGCAATCTAAAACATTGCAGTTTCATATAAACCGCAATATTTACAATGCAGGGTTAACACTACCTCTAGAGGCAGTCTCCTAGAAACACACAAGAGGCGCTTTCTGCATTTACATGGAGTTTAACTCCATGAAACGACCATGGATGTCAGCAAGCTTTTCATGAGGATTTCCAGCATCTTGATATCCCCCTTAAAAAAGCATTGATTCGATGTTCGCATTAGGTTCTCCCTTTGCCGACCTCGGAGCAGGAGGAGATGCAGCCAGCGCTGAGGGACCTTGGAACTGGAAAGAGATAAGTGTTCAAAGGTTTTTTTTTTTAACCTTTTCAAAATCGGGGGTGGGAGACAACAACTTTAGGGCAGCGGGACACTTTAGCATCAGGAATACAGTTTTGTATTCCTAACACTGTTACATAGTTATATAGCTGAAAAGAGACTTGCATCCATCAAGTTCAGCCTTCCTCACATATGTTTTTGCTGTTGATCCAAAAGAAGGCAAAAAACCCAGTCTGGGGGGGACGGGGCCTGACCGCAGAACTGAGAGGTTGCAGAAAAAAGCCGCTCCTGCACCTCGGGTTATACGCCTAAAACTTACCTCAATTCCTCCAAACGTGCATCCAGCGGAAGGGCGAAACCGGGGGCCACGTACCGACACTAAATATGTGGCATAACAAGCAGGAACCCTCGAAGTACTCCTAAAGGCCTGCCAGCATGGTCTGTGCAGGGGAGACGGCCGCTCCCCTGATGCCTCCAACAGCGACAAGTGTGATTATGGGCCCTAACCCCCCCCTATGGACCGGTAGGGGTCATCCTGGTCCCAGGAGGACCACCCCAGAAGTTGTGGCAGCAACCCCAACAGAAACGAGCTATAATCAATATGGTAGAGACTACTTTCGAGCCAGCGGGCCCAACACAAGAGACTGACATCCTAGCACGGCTGGACGCCACATTTAAAGAGTTTTGGAAAAAACTAGCAGACCGACTAAGCACAGGCAAAGCTCGAGCTTCAGACCCACCTGAGGCGCCACCATACTGCTCACGTCCAGAATGCACACCCAGTCAGGCCAAACACCCCCCAAAAATAGGGAAGAGCTCGCACTCACACCCGAGAGGGACCCGCACTACGCCTGCAAAAGTACCTGGGAAAAGGATCGTCCGCCCACACCTCAGCAAGCAGACAGCGAAATACATGAAGCACGCAGACCTGGTGGTTGGAACGGGTGAGTCCCTGAACGAAATACAAAGCCCAGGAACAACCCTTAAAGGCATAGGCTGAGGAGGACTTTGTGAGACATGAGGAATGGGACACACAGCCCCCGGTAGTGGCAGACTATCGCTCCCCTTGATCCGGGACTTATACTACACCATGATAATTGAGCCGCACATGTACCGCACAGAATTAACCCCCTATCCCGAAAAGCAGCCCAACCATGTGGATCCCTATGTAGCTCTAAGCTCCTGCCATCGGAGAGACTGGGGCAGCCGAAGGGGAAGGTGTACCTGAAACAAACCAAGCTCACAACGTGAACTATAACTGCTATTTATTTATCAAAAGTGTTGACTTAGCTTTTTCGTTTAAAGAGTTAGTGAGTTATATTTAGGCTTTCAGTGAAAATCCTGCATCCAGATAGCGCAACAATATTTGTGTATGCTTCACATTGTGTCTAGCTACCTAGTGGTGACAATCTTTTACACACACCCCAGACAAGTTAGTTAAACCTGTGTCTATGCTGGGGGCTCTAAAAAGTACGCACTGGGGGGGCGGAGTCTCACCGCCAAGCTGCACGGACGTGGGGGACAGGAGCTCCGGTCGGGCGGGCAACAAACCTGGCACAAACGGCAAAAACGAAGCCCAAAGACCACACAGGGGGCACCACCCACGTCGGGGGAGCACTTCAGTATCGGGTGATACAATTCCAGAGCCAAACAAAAGAAAAGCCGACTGCGGCCTGCTGGAGTGGAAGCCGGGGAGAGGCGGCCGCTCTCTCCGACATCAGACCCCCTGGGAAACTCTGCGGACTACCTACCCTCCCCCCCCTGGACCGGGGGGGACATCCCGGTCCCCATTAGACAAGCGGACCAAGACAGCAAACAAGTAATCTCTACCACACAGCCTGCTGGTGCAGGACACAACCGAGGCACGTCCAAGATGGCCGCCCAGCATGGTACAAGGAAGAGGGCGGGCGGTTACCTGCCCTTTCATTCCCTGGAAGCACTTGACCGGCTATGCCTAAGCTTCTGTATGACACTATGTGACAGGGGAATACCCTACAAACGAGCGGCCCACACAGTGGCCTCGTGGATTCGACCGATTACCCGCAGGCGCCACTATGGACTCCCACCTCAGACCTTTCAAGTGGCTGACAGGCGCCGACAGTCGACAAGGCGGGTGGCAGAGCCTCACCATGAGGGTGCACGTACCCGCTCCCACTCTCAACAGAGCGAGACCGCCGGGCAAACCGTATGCTCCAGCAACTTCTCGAACCAGCGAGACGCCAGACAGCACCACAGGGACATAGCCGCATGCCACGCCGACACGCAAACAAAATCCCTGCGGAACACGGCCGAAACTGGACTGAGGCCCAGAGACTCATGCTACCCGGGCGCATGCACTGGCCCCTTAGCACACAAGGGTGGGACAGCCAAACTGGAAGCCCACGCATACAACGCTCCTGAGAGCACGCTTTCCGAGGAATGTACCCTACCATCAGCAGGCATTGGGTGAACTGATCTTATGAAAAGGGACTTAAAGCAGGCAGTTGACCACCTATCTTCTATCTCCACACGGCATCTTATACTTCTCACTCACATAGTCAGCCAGCACAACCTATGTTTACTACCCTGTTCAAACCTGATGTCTCTAATGTAAAAATGTGCTTGTTGTGCTTTCCTTGTTTTAAATGCGCATACAATTAAACAGCTAGCCTTCTTTACACCCTAGGTGCAATTCGCAATGCTCTATACATGTCCAGCTTAACAAAAACGCGGTTTTATAGCTTGAGATT